TTGATAAAACTCCATCATTTATTAATCTTTTGACTCTCTTTATAGTGATATGCCCCAATCTCCTATGCTATAGTTCAGATGCATTTTCTTTAATCTTACAACGCTTATAGCCAATACTACTATTATGCACTTGAAAAAGTTACGAAAGTGAGATCCAAATCAATTTTTTATGAATCGCCAACCGAAACATCGTGTCCAACAACAATTGAATTCTAAAATAAACCAAAACTTCTATCTTAAAACACAAATTCAAAACCTAACTGTGTTAGTTTTGAAATAGAAACTAAATTACAAGAATATGTTGGAACATAAAAAGTGTTTTCAAGATCCAAATGAAAATAGATTTTTAAAACTAATCTAAAAGTTCCCACGCCTTCAACAGTTGATCCCAACCAATTTCTAGAATAGATATTTTGCTCATATGATTGTGGTTTCCTTACATCCAGAAAGCCCTGCGTAATATTGACAATGTGAATTGTATTACCAGAATCAATCTACCATGTACAACTTGGAATATTAACAAAATGAGATTCGTGACATACAAATGAGACAAGAATACCTTTATTTTCGAACAATTTCTTATATTTTGAAGCAGTCTTTCTTTATATGCCCTTTCATGAAATAAATATCCTTATTACTCTTTTGTTTCACTGGCATTTTATTATTCATTTTAGGATCGTATTTACCCTTGTTCTCATTACATTTATCATGAGTTGTCACATAAGCAGTTTCTAACTTTTCATGCTTTAACCTCTCTTCCTCTTGAACAAACATTGTGGGGAGTTCATATACAATCCATTTTTTCTTTACTACATGTATTACATGGTATTTAAAATGGACCGTAGAGAGTTCAGAAAGAGATAAACAGAGGCATGAATTATGCCCTTGTTTGAGCCTCATTCTTTTGCAAAAGTTTATTTTTCAACAGTGTTTTGACATCATTTTAATCACACATTTTTCAATAAAATAGTATTACATGTAAATCCAAAACTTTTTCTTATTTTTTAACCACACATTTTCCATCAATATATTATTCAAAAATTCATTCTATCCCCAAAAATGGAGCTCAAACACGATTACCAATGCACACATTTTGAGACAAAAAGCTTTGCTTCCTAGGAAAGCTATCCAAAATTCTTTTTTCTTTTTTTTTTTTTTTTACTAGACAATTTTGGAACTTAAAATAAAAAATTTCTCTTCAACCATACCTTATTTATCCTCTGTTTGAAAATCATTATTCTTAAAAAGAAATGTTATGAACAGTGATTTACAAGAAAATGTGGGGTTAAAAAGTAGGAAAAAATTTGGGTTTACGTGTGTTTCATTGTGTGAATATGTAGTTGAAAATGAGTATGTAAAAAAAAGTTTTTAAATAATAATTGTCAAGCAGAAGTTTAAACTTTTCAACACTCAAATTTTTCTTGTTTAGTCATCATTGTTAACCATTGGCATTTAGATGATTAGATTTTTTATTATTATTTTATTTTATTTTTTTTGCAAGAAAATTGCTTTCAAGGGTTCTAAGTTGGGATTATATCGTTTTTTCTAGATAATTCATGTGGACATGATCAAATTAGTTCAAACTCTTTAGAAGACTTAAACAATTTTACATATAGAACAGTCGCCATGGTATGTAGTATCTAGACAGTTTAAATATATAGAACATATGAACTGTCTAGAATTTTATATTCTTGAATCAAGAGTTTTTATATTTACAAAAGAATATTATATTTACAAAAGAATCAAGAGTTTTTCAGAAAATAAAAATGGATAACATTTTCACATTATTCCAATATTAGAAGTATCAGAGAGTGTCAAAGAACAAGAGATCTAAATGCCCTAATTAATACTCAAACATAAAAAAAAAACTATAAATTTTAATCAATCTAGCTGAACCAAACAGGGGTCTAAAGTGTGGAGGGTCAATACAATTATTTATCTTTAAAAAAATTTATGTTCTTTAAAAAAAAGGAAATTGCTATTTCCATCTAGAATTCTTAATATATCTATCCACTTTTATAAAAACTATATTTCACTTTTAACCTTATGTAAATTTATTTAAATAGCCTTATTCGTCCCGACTATAGTACTTTCTGGATAAACATAGGATTATGATGCAATCTATTCTCTATGTTACATTCAAATTATTTGAACAAAAGTGTGAGATCTTTTCTTTGGGAGCAGCAACAAATGAATGGGGTCCCTAGTAGATTTTGCCTTTTGTTTTGGGACTTTTCCATTTCTATTTTTATACATATGAGGTTCTTCGTTTCATAATGTGGACTACATTAAGGAAGTCTCCCTTCTTAGGAGGAGGAGTGAGCATATCGCCAAGCACTATTTGTGCTGTCTACCATGAAGTCATTTATGATATGAAGTTTTCTTCCTTCACATGTGCCTCTATGTAGTGTTCTAAAATGCATATATATGCTTTACATAAGTCTGCATATGCTTGATGCATTTTAAAAACGCCTCTCATATGAGGTATGTGCATGATAATGCCTTCAACCTATTTCATTAACAACATATGTAAGTTTAACGCCAAATTGCGCATGCATTTTTGTTAAAAATTGTATCAAAATTAGCTTAACAAAGCTCAGCCCATTTGTGTAACTTTTTTTTTTTTTTTTTTTTATAAAAAAGAGCAAATTGAGCCCAACAAGCATTAAATTAACCCTAGTCACCCAATCCCATAAATCATATACAACAATCTATAGGGTTTTAACGTTTAGAAAATTCAAAAAATCAAAACCAATTTTTTCGTAGAGTTGCAAACTACTTACGTCAAGCTCGAGCCTCATTTTTCTTCGATCTTCCTCTAGTTTACTAGCAAGTGATGCTAACATTGCACAATCTTAAATGGTTGATGGTTGTGTTAATAAGGAGGATGTTAACAATGATATCTTAGAACCTTGCTCTAAGGGTTAGACCTTCTGCATGCAATGCAAGTTTTTACACGCATAGAAGAAACTCAAAATTTTCAAGGCAAAACAAAAGTGAGTTCTGGAATGGTAACTATGAAGAGAGAGATGGCTATGAGAACATTGAATAATTTGAAATTATTTCATCATAAAGTGGGTTGTTACTTTCCATCTCCGAAAAACTTGAATGTTTAATCGACTTCGATGTTAAGTCCTAAGAAAAATGAAGTTGTTGAATTATTCCGAAAGGTCTAGGCTTGTCTTCATGAAAGAACAACAGTCAAGGAGAGAATAACATTGTAACAAACATAGATTTAGAGTGTGATACATAAATAAAAGTAGTTTGGAGTGTTTAAATAATCGAAAAAAGGATAATGTTATAGTATTTCTAAATAACTCTCTATTTTTCAAGGGTATATTTTATAATTTAAAGAACATTTATAAGTTTAGAGAGCAAATTTTTTAATTATTTTAATAAGCTATTTATATTTAACACTTAATGCTTGTCTGAATGTCATTTTTGCAAAAATAAATAAATAAATAAATAAAAATAAAAAAATATTTCCAATCACATCAAGTGACCTACCATCTTAATGCCATTCATGCTTTCAGAATACATATTTATGAATGCCTTCTATTTATTCTCCCATTTTAAAGTGTGTGCACTATTTGTCCAAATTAGCACAAGTCACCATGTCAGGCTTTTCAAAGGGCAAAATTGGGAAAGTAAAATCAAAAGTCATAAATGGAACAGTTATAAGTTAGCTTCATGTTAGATGAAATGTGATTAAAAAAAATGTAGAAATTAAACTGTTCAATAGTCATATTTCTTCTTAAAAATCAAAAGTAATTGTGTCCAGACAAGTGCTTAATTTTATAACTCTCCAAAATTTTTTAATTATTTTTTCTCTATTTTTTATTTTCACTAACTACCCTCGAATTTATTACATTATTTTTTCATTAAAAATTGAAGTACTTTAAATGAAGTTAATTATGGAGTAAGTTAGGCTCTTGAAGAACTAAAATCATTCTCTATTTAAAAATATTAATTTAAAGAGTCTCTTCAAACATTTTTTAAGGATTGACTATTTAAAATAAAGAGTATTTTATATTTAAAAAAGCATATTGAAAATGTTCTTCGAATGTAATCTGAATAAATATAGTAAAGGTAATTATATTCACATCACAATTTTTATTTCTTGTACTACATTTTAATTGCACGTAGGGCATGATTGATTGTGAGCATGTAATTTACATGGAAAGAAAATAAATTTTAAGCAATTAAATTGCCTAAAAATTAGTTATATGAAAATTGTCAATTAAATATGTTTGATTGATTTTATTTTCAACCTAGAAAATGTTATACTTATTCATTTTTTATTAGTATATATGTGGGAGAGAGAGGAAGTAGATGAAAGAGAAAGAGGATGAATTACCTAGAAAAATATATTCCCTTTAAGAAAATATTTTCCTTAAAAATAAGAAAAATGCTTAATCCATTTGTACATCGAGCTTGACACTCCCCTCACATGAGGGGAGTGGGCCCCGCCCCTTGTGTGAGAAGCATGTACACTAAGCTGTCCAACTCAATGTACATGTAGTTTGATTCTAAGGAAAATATGGTTACATGACCAAGAGTAAAAAAAATAATCAAATAATACAAAAGTAGAAATTTTAAAGTTTTTTATTTTGGCTCATTATATTACTTACGTCCCAACAATTTTTTATATCATTTTTATCTTCAAACATTTCATTAGTTAATACATTTTGTATTTGATGACAGTTTTATATTCATAAGTCCGTTGAAATAACGTAAAATAACTTATTTTTTATTATATTTTTAAAAAAAATATTGGATTTTTCCTTTATTTCGAAGAATAAAAATAAAATATTTAAGTATAAATCATCAATGAAGAGACTATCTAATCAATGGAAAGCTGAATACAAGAATCCAATGAAAGAAAATAATTGTTACAATGAACAAAGTTTGATGAGTTTAAATGCAAAATGTGATTTATCAAATAAAAATTGGGTGCCAATATAACCGTTTATGTAGTAATCTTTTAAAATTTTATTACATTTCAGTCCATCAGATATCCAACCCGATTTTATATTAGCGCTATATATAATTTGTTCAAGTTATTATCCACTGTTTCCGCCACCGCCACCAACCACAGCTTCCTCCGCCTGCAGAATGGCTTTAAACCTCCTATCATTCTCTGCTCGACTATCGCCAACCACCTCCATCGCCACCGCCACGTGTCAAGCCTCGGCCACCACTTTCTCAGTGCACAGCCTTACTCCTCCGCCTCCGCCACCGCTACAGCCACCTCTACTGTCTCTCCCTCAAAAATCTACCCCAACGCCTCTCCCTTCATCTTCCTGTTCTCTTCACTGCCCCCATTTTCAATCGTATGTACTCTGCGTTTCAATTTCTCATCACACGCTGACGCGTAAAGGAAGTTGTGTGTTTAATCAATATGCATTATCCTTTTTGAATTTGCAGCTGTTCGGGTTGTACTCACGAGTACAACCTCCATCGTCCGGTGATTTTGGACGAGGCAATTGACTTCTTCGAGAAACTCGCTGTGTCAGGCTTCGATTTTGATACTTGCAGACTGGTATATACATATGCTTGATTGCTGCTATTTATGTAAATATTTACTTATTTGCTATTTTTTATTGCTTTCAGTATTTCAGTTTACACAATTAGGGTAGTGAGTACAATTCCTTTTGAATTTGGCAGTGGGGATGGAGATGTCGTGCAAAGCTAGCAGTTCGGGGTTCATCGACCAAGCCTTTGATTGGTCTTTATCAAGAACACACTCACGATGTAGTTGATATTCCTGAATGCAAGGGTACTGAATTCGTTGGTTTAAACTTTAAGATAATATGTGTGGTGTAGACGTATGTCTTTATTTGTGTTGTTATGCTCCATTGGGTTGAATGTATTTTTAATGTGTAGCTCATCATCCAAGTATTAATGCAGCTGTGGAGCTACTGAAACAAGGTTTGTTTTGTACTCCGTCTTTTAGTTCAGTTATTTTCGTCTCTTTTGTCGATTATTTTTCCACGAGGACCAGGGCTGCTTGTGATGCTCTCAGTGTCCACTACTTTTAATATATGTTTTTTTAACTTTAGGAATGTCTAAATTAAATATTGAGCCATATGATGAAGATCAAGGAACTGGAGAACTGAGATATGTGCAGGTGACTTGTATTCATGGAAATATTCTCTACTGTTCCTTGATTAACTGTTGGCTATCGTCAATTCAATATTTCGTGAAGCTTAGCCTTTAACCCCTACCCCGTTCCTGGGAAAAATATAATTAAAAACCAAAAAGTTTGTGATGAATGGTAATTGATGTGTTTCATATGTTATTGACAATGGTTATATGCAGATGGCTGTGACTACATACAACACGTCTCTACCTGCCTCTCAAAGATACAAAAATGGTTAGTAGCTTGGCTCATATTTCGTGGGGAATGACATTGAAATTGTTGGACCTTAAAAGTTTCAACTCTTGGGCTTATACTTTTGTTGAACAACCTCAGGCAAAGTGCAGGTTGCTTTGGTTTGGAACTCCAGAAATGAAAACTCACCTAGTTCAGAAAAGTTAAATGATCTGGCCAGTGTAAGACCATTGTGGACTTTTAACTGGCTTTCTTTGGTTTAATGAATCTCCTATTGGCGAAGTAATTGATTCTGACTTTCAGTTCCTATGGAGAAATGGTGGGACAAAAGGGAAAGTCCATTTAATTCATTCTGTCTGGGCTAACTTTCAGACATCAACAAATAATGTAAGTACAACTCTCCCTCCTTCCCTCCCTCTCTCTCTCTCTCTCATGTGCAGGGTGCATTTTTTGCATGTGTATAATTTGAGCAAGATGCACAAATGGTTAAATATATGAATATGCATAAAGATTAATGGTTATTGGTTAAATTCTCCTAGACAGATTAATGGTTTTAATAGTTTTCTAAAGTGTCTAATATTATATACAGATATATTGTACCTCTCTGAAGTACATGCTTCAATAGTTATTGGTTAAATTCTCCTAGACAATTTTATCTATATATTCTCCTTTCTCTTGTTTTTTAGTTCTCATGAGGACTATAACATGAAAATAGTAGAGGCACAGATGGTAGAAACAATAAAGAAATTAAAAAGTAAAATTCTGTTCAAACTGATTTGATAAAATCCTGCTGTCTGGGGGACAACGGGTCCAAAAAGCAAGATGCTTCTCTTTCTCTTTCTGTGAGCAATAATTTTAATATCTTGGTGATTTCTGTTTTGATAAATAAGGAGAAAAAAAGGCAGATGGAGAAGCCATTTAATCATATGTAATTATCATGAGATTTAACTCAAAGAAATTTGAGCTTTCAAATTTGATAAAGAAACCTCTGAATCAAAAATAACTATTCTCTCAGTGACTTGTTTATGATAAATCATTCAAGAACTGGGCTATTATTCATAAATTTTTCTGTAGGATTGCCTTATGTATTTTTCTGGCTGGTGTTGCAGATTATTTTTGGGAATAGATGGAGACATCTTTTAGGTGAAAGAGACTTCTGGGAGCATGTTGGAGGAATTGATGTTTCTCTGGCACCTTCAAGCTTTGGGCAAGCAAATACACGGGTAGAAGTCTTGATGAAAGATACTTCAGTTAGTTATTTGTTTGACGGAATTTACTTCCAATTATCCCCACTTATATTCCAACTTTTGGTTGCTCTGTATTATTTGGGCACTTTTCAAGCGTTAGTGGCACAAATATGACTAACAGCACCTAGCATACTGTCAAAAAACTTGTTTAGATCACAACATGATAGTTGGTCTTTCTTATCAGGCATTTGATTTTTTACTCCATAAGTTACACAAGTGTGTTCCTTATGGTGCATCAGTTGTTGATCTCTATGCTGGAGCTGGTGTCATTGGATTATCTTTGGCTGCCATGAGGAAATGCCGGTGAGAACAGTGATGATTTCAAGGTCCTTAAATTTAATTCATGTTCTACCTGTCAATATGCAAGACACAAACCCTTTTATATATTTCCACGTGTTTGTAGGTCAGTAAAATGTGTTGAGGTTAATAAAGAGTCAAAGGTTTCTTTTGAGAAGACAGTTGCTCGTTTATCAGAAACCCTAGATAGCAGCATCAGCTGGCATCATGCAGACGCATCAAAAGTTAGTGCTTCATTTTTATTCATGCTTATGTTGATATTTTACATGTACATATCATGAGTACTGACTATCATATATGTGCATATGTCCAAGTTCACTTATGCATGGGCATAGAAAGTACACTCACAGATGTCTATTCCTTTACTACATCTTTCTGGAAATGCATGCATGCCCGTGTGAGCATTAACACACACAGATATGAAGACATCAGTTTCTTGCATCATCTATCAAATCTAAATATGATCACATGCACTTATATCGTATTTTTAACTCTCTTTGCAAAGATCTCCAAGTTTGTCTCTAATC